GTTCTTGTTTACAGAAATGACCCGGAGATACATCTGGCCCTCATCAGGAAGGCAGGGAGAGATCTGCATCAGCTAAGGGAGAGCACACCTCGGTGGTGGGGGCGGCCCCCAGCTCCTGTCCTGAGCCGCAGGCTGCAGCCTGGGAAGATATTCCCAGCGCCCCCCTCGGCAGCTCGGCGGGCTCCCCCAGGAGTGAGAAGTTCACTATTCACTCCGCGCTTGCATCATCCTTCCAACATGTTCCCACTGATACATTAAAGGAATTAATTGCTCATAATGATCTCACCATCTGTTAACAGGGGTTCCTACCTACAGGCTGGTGGCATGCGGTGGTTCTATTCAGGGATCAATAGGCAATGCCGGGCGAGCGCTTTCCCACATTCGCGTCTTTGCGCGCTGAAAGGGGGAGGAGAGCCCGGTGCCGGCCATCTGCTCCTCGTCTTTCTGAGCGAGACCCTGATGCGGTCCAGCACAGCTCTGGTCTGACTCCAGTCCGATTGGAATGTGGCTGATCTGAGAGGCTCTCAAAGCTGTGAAAGTGAGTCAAAAGGAGATGCCCATTGTCCGGCATGGCTGAAAGAAAATGATCACTTTAAAATTCATAACTCCCAGGTGCCTGCCATCTATTCATGGGAAAAACCCTCTGAACTTCTCTTCATTAAAGAGACGGGAGTCTCGCTAAAAAGAGAGAAAAGGAAGTAGTTTGTGGGAATGTGTAGGGGATTTTCAGGCTAAACAAATGAGGAATTTGGAATTTTTCACTTGTATTAAAAAGGCTGTGTAAGGAAGGGGAAGCCCTTATTTAAAAAGAGAGAGAGAGAGAAAGAGAGAGAGACAGAAAAAGAGAGAGAGAGGAGAGGTTTTCCTGGGGCCTCTAATAAAGAACATTTAAAAATTTCTCCAGGGGAATTGAAAATCACCCTTTTTTAAATTTTTTTATTACCTGAAATGGAGAAAACTCTCCCTTTGGATCCTGAACGATATTCTTAGCCAATTTCTATCGCTTCTGCAGAGGTAGAACTTGAGTGAGCATTTAGGGGGGTTGAAGGAGAGTCTGGGAAATTCCTGAATATGGTGTGGGATCCAGGGACTCAACCCTATCAGCTGTTTGCTGGAAGAGGTCTATGCAGCAGGTCACCTGCACCTACAGGGGGTCTGTCAGGAGCACAGTTCTCTCTGTGCCTTAAACAACAAGAGAGCCATTAGGAAGTAGCTAGGAAATAAAGAGAAAAATCTCTGTGGCTGGTGGTTGAAGATTCAGCTGAGTCCCAGAGCTGTGGGAATCAAGTTCTGGTGGATCGCGGGCATTGGCCACCTCGGAAAATCAATGTCGCCCCAGAGTCACACAGGAATTCAAAGAGGATTTATGGATTAATGGATTGAGAGCCAAACAAAAGTACAAATAGAAAGACCGGTGTTCTGTCTCTTGAAAATCTTTTATCATCCAGATGATGACACTTCAGTCCCCAAGAGATTAAGTGACACATTGAGAGTCACGCAAGCTTGTTACCGAACCCAGGCTGGACCCTGACTTTGCTTCCTGGTACCTTCCTCTGTGGCATAGGGGTTAAGATTCTATTTGCTCAGTTTTCCATAATCATAGTACAGATTGATATTGCCAGCCAAAAGAATGTTGTTTCTTTGAAGATAAATTCTGAGCTCTAAGGGAGATTATGAATACCAATATTCATCACTAACACATACGAAGTAGAACACGGATCGGTTAATATCTGACAGAAAGCGGAAAGCTTTGCCATAAAGGTTAAGGCTCTTGGTAAATATCTTGGACATCAGTAGCCAACCAAAGGAAGGAGGCAGATGCAAAGTCAGAAAGTCACTCCCTCCACAAGCAGGGGTCAGTGGGAACAGAGGGTGGGAAGGCGGTAGAAAATTCTAGAAATAATCCAAACCTCTGCAAAGAGGTGAAAGTCCTCCTAGCAGAATCGACATGACTGGTCCTTCCTGACAGATAAGAGGGTACGACCTGAACCATAGTTTTTCTAGAAGTTTCCATTTGGTCATTGAGAGTCCTTGTTTTGTGTGACTTCTTCTCTGTGGGAGCCTATCTTTAATTTTCGGTACAGTGGACAGGAACATAAAATTCTTTGGATAAAATTGTGACACATTGTATTTCTAGTAGATTTAAGTGGGGAAAAAAAAATCAAGGTCAGGTGCAGATTTGTTCGTGAATCCAGTTTGACTCTTCAATTGTCAAATTGTTTGACCTGAGAGTTGATGTGGTGCCAAACTCCGGACTTGGTGAAATGTGAGGAGAAAAACCCTAAAATAGAGCAAGCCGACTGAGAGCTGGCATGAGGATTGACAGGGGCCATGCGGGGATGGCTAACCTGACCTCCTGTGTTTCAGCATTAGCTTGGGGCTCTAGGGGAACTCTTCTCTCTCATGTTCCAGAAAAAGTTAAAAAAAGTAGGGAGGCCAAAAGAAAAAATGGGGATAACTACTACTAACTTTGCAGAGTTTATATGAAACAAAAACAACATCAGGGCATAACATTAATATTATCTGACATAGAATATAAGTTAAAATATGAAATCACCAGTATTTGATCATTTTTGACTTATAAAAAAACGGCAATTTCCATTATGAGTCAATTTAAAACTTTGCAGTCGGTGGTACATTATGGGTTGCTTCCCTTTTCAATCAAAGAGCATCCAAATCTTACATGGTTTAAGAACTATCTGAAATAAGTCCTGAAGGTTCTGAGCATTCTGGCTGTTGGCAATATTGATTAGAACTATATGCGGATCTCACAATAGAAGTAAAACAAATTACACCGTGGGAATACAATTCACCAGACCTTTACTTTAACATCTAGTATTTTTATGTCTTGCAATGAAATGGTGGCCTCTCCTACTGATCAAAATGCCCCTTCATGATTGAAAGCTTATCTTAGGGATATTCACAATAGTTAGACAAGGAGGACCTGAGGTACTGAGCAGTGGACAGTAAGAATGAGACACTCAGAGGCACCTACCTCCAGCGATGACCACGATCTAAGCAATACCCCTAAAAAACAACAGCAGCAAACCCGGAACCAATCAACCAACCAACAAAAATGCACCAAGGAAGGAAAGCACAGAATTCCAAGGCAGGACTGGGCTGGTGGGGACAGGCGGGGAGCGCAGCAGGTGGGCACTGGAAGGGGTCTCCAGCTGGCCACTCTGGCTCCTGGCTCCCAAGGTGTTGACTTCAGACTGAGCCCTTAGGTATTCGGATCCCCGGAAGGAGTTCAGGGCTGGGACTGTGTTTACCGCTACCTCATTTCTAAGGTCTCTCTTCCTGTGGGATGCTGTCTGTGACCTGAGGCTCATCAGCTCCTGCCCTTGTGTCTCAGAATCCCACCCCCTGCCCCAGCCAGAAATGCCCATCTTTGCCGTGCATGAATGCATTCACTTTTCTTTCAAGGATCCTCTAGGAAAACTCCTTCCTTTTTAGAATGTTCGGTTTTGAAAAATCAAAGAATTCCCCTCTAACCTTGCTGCTTGACAGTGTCACCGTGGGCTCAGTAATCGGAATCAGTTTTGTTCCTAGTTCTGTGTTCAAAATTAATACATGGGGAAGGTTGAAAAAGCACACAGCAAAAGCAAATACACTTTAATTCTGCCCCATCCCCATCCTCCCCTCTCACACTGGGCTTGGAGGGTTAGCTTATCTCTGGGTTTTATTATTTCCCTCTCTCTTTTCTTTCTTTCTTAAAAAAAAAAAAAAACTGAGCATGGAAAGTGAAAGTTTATTGGGGGCAAGAGTTCAGTGACTATTTTTTCCCTTGAACAAATTAATCTTGTATAACCTGCATTATAAAGGCTATTTTTAAAAAGAGGAGGAAATCATCATGGGGGCCTGATTTGGAACTCTTGTGGGCTGGAGTTCTACATTTGCACCAGCCAGGGATTTTCAATTAGCAGCGCCTTAGAAAACTGGGACCCCTGCCTTTGTCAGTGTCCTGTGCAAGAAGAAGAGCAAATAGATTGGAAATGGTCTTGTGGCCCAAGCTCCTGGGAAAATGTAACAGGTGTTACCGCTCAGCTGGGTGTGAGGGTTAGGAAAAAAGCCCACTCAGACTTTGCCCATAGAATTCTGCTTTCCAGCCAGGGTTTCAAGTAGGAAGAAACTAATGACTTCATTACCATCTCAATTCTGGGAAATGCCTGGTCCAGACCTGACTCATTAAAGGAAAGGTATAGCACTCTGCGTGACCTTGGGAGATCAAAATGTTATTTAGAGCCCTTCCATCAGC